GCGGCGGCGAGCAGCGCGACGTCAAGGAAGGAGACATAACTGAATTCGGATCGGGCGGCACAGGGAACACCACGCGGCAGATCAAACCGTCCAGAATTCGTTTGATAGATCAACCAAAATCAGTCGGTTGACGTATAGAATTACTGAAAATATATAGACAAAAATGACTCACCCAACCCTAGCTAGCTCACATAATTGGTCTCGTTTAACAATTTTGGTACACGCAACACTATACGTCAGATCCGATAATCACAGACGGGCCTCAACTGCATCACATACGGTGATTTCACGTGTGTCTGTGCGTAAGGGTCTGCGATGTGACCACATCTACGAACAATTCACCTGTCTATAATTAATTAAAGCAAAGACAAATATATGGCATGTCTGTGATAACAATAATTGCAGACAGGTAGAAAAATGTGTGTCTCTATAGATAGTTAAAGAACCGTCGGTGGTTAATGTGTCACAGACGGTTTGCAAACCCGTCTGTGGTATGTTTTTAAGCACAGATGGTTTGATTACCTGTCTGCGTGGTATGTGTATCACAGACGGTTTATTACCCGTTTGTGATGTGGGTGTTCATCACAGACTCCAACTCGATGGTTCTTTTACCTGTCCTTGATATGCATGGTTACTACCCATCTATGACATATCCCATATCAAAGGAGGCTGTCTGCTTTCTATTTGGTCCGCATACGAACCATTGTGATGTCGGTCTGTGGTTTGTTTTGGTGGGCAGATGTACCGCTGTAAGGCCATGTCTCTGATGAGAGGTGCCCAGACCCAAGCCTAGATCATCGACGTGGATTATTATTCATGTCTCTATCATCAAGCGTCAACAAAAGCACGATCAATAGCAATCTTACATATCACAGGCAGTTAAGCCATCAATAATACCAAAAAAAATAATACCATCACTCAAATACTCATATACATCAAAACTTTTTACACCATCAATAACGGATTATTAAAACTTTTTTTCATTTTTTTATATCAAAACTTCTGTAACTAACAAAATTGAAAACCTATTATTACGAGGAAGCCACCGAGAAATCCTCTTATTGTGGCCTTTATGATTCTTTCATCGGTTCTTCCAAGAACACACAGTACATATACATGAATGCAATCAATGACGTCAACGTGAACTTTGTCTAACTCTCAAGAAAGTGTCAATGTGAAGACATCACCAATGAGCTGTTATTGGATTTGGATCATCATATTCTCAAGGTTGACTACATAAAAACGTTGAAGTAAACACCCAGGCTATTTAGTGAAGGGACCAGCAATAATAATATGAATTTAATTTAGTATAGCTTATCACTTGTTTTATTTACATAGCTTATCACTATTCTATTTGATTTACGGATTAGAGTTCTTTTATCACCACATCTATGTACTAAAATATGTAAATTTAATATGAAAGTACTATGCTATACATATTTTTTCTTTTCTACTAATATGTCACCATATACGTACTACCAAACTCTACTCCCTCCGTCCCATTTTAATATCTCATTTGCAGTTCAAAAAAATACTCCCTCTGTCTAGTAAATTTTGCAATAGTAGGACTGGAGGGAGGTAGCAATGCACATGACAAATGACCAAAATACCCTTGTATTTGCTCTGACGTACTGACCCAAAGTTCAGTTTTTTATTTTCTTTAGCGTTCTAGAGACATCCGTGGACTGTGAGGAAGAGCAGATCACCAACAGCATAGGGTCTAATATGGGTCCCCTTGATGTGATAGCCTAGCATGATAGACCCTATGAATTCTACGATTGCAAAATTTGTTGGACAAATTTGAACTCTTAAATTACAAAATTTACTGGACGGAGGAAGTACCAAAAAGAAGGGCTCCATAGCATCTGAAACATAGCAGTCCTGGCCTGCTAGTACCTGCAAGTACAGGCATGGAAATAAAAAAACTGCTGGAGTGCTCACGTCCACACGTTTGAAACCCCACCGAGCGGAGGCAAAAAAAAATCCCCACTGAGCGTCCCGTTCACACCTGCGAGGGAGAATCCAGAAGCTCCTGGTCCTCATTTACAGATTCTCTTTTCGCCCTCACACACGGAGTCATTCCTTCACCGATCACCATCTTGTCGCCGTGGAGAACCAACGCCTTGTTTAGATGGCATCCAAATTCCAATTTTTTTCACTCTCTCTTTATCACATCAATTTTTAGCCGCTTGCATGGAGTATTAAATGTAGGTAAAAAAAAACTAATTATACAGTTTAGTTGGAAATCACGAGATGAATCTTTTGAGGCTAGTTGATCCACGATTGGACAATATTTGCCAAATAAAACGAAAGTAGTACTATTCATCGGGTTCACTTTTTTTTTTTTAAGTGAACTAGGCCCAAATGCATTTCTGAGAGGGCCAGCACAGGTGGCAGCTATATGGGGAACCAATCTGTGGCAACGAGATGGTGATTGGTGAAGGAACGACTCCCTGTGTGAGGGAGAAAAGAGAATCTGTGAATGACGCCTTGTTTAGTTCCATACTAAATTTTAAAAAGTTGCTACAGTGTCTGTCACATCGAATGTTTGCGGCCCGTGTATAGAGCATTAAATGTAGACAAAAAGAAAAACTAATTGCACAGTTTGGTGGGAAATTACGAGAGGAACGTTTTGAGCCTAATTAGTCCATGTTTGAATACTATTTGCCAAATAAAAACGAAGATACTACACTAGCCCAAGGGCTGAGTAGACCAGGAGCTTCTGCAGACTCCCTCGCAGGTGTGGATGGGACGCTTGGTAGGGATTTTTTTTTTCCTCCGCTCGGTGGGAATTCAAACGTGTGGACGAGAGCACTCCAGCAGCTTTTTTTTAATTTCCACGCCTGTACTTGCAGCTACTAGCAGGCCAGGACTGCTATGCTTCAGATGCCATAGAGCCCTTCATTTTGAGATTTTTTTTTGAACTGCAGAGGAGCAATTAAAATAGGACGGAGGGAGTACGTCTCAGTTCAAGAGCCATGACAAGCTACAACGTTTCTAGAAACGTCGACTCTCCTAATTAAAATTCTACTATTTTTCTCTACGTCCCACTTCCATTTGTCTGGTCCTTTAAAATTAGTGTCATCAAAAAATCGCTACAGTAATGCATGGGAAATTTATCTAGTGGGCTTAAAGACGATACATGGCCTAGCAGACCAAAAGACAATGTCACAACACCATGACAGATCTAGACGCTAAATTGTTTTGATGATTCCCATTGAAACTAACACCTTTGGTTAGGTTATCTTCTAAAGTTTCCACGCATAGGTAGAATGTTCAAAACGAAGTCCCCGTAGACATCCTGGGCATCCATTTTAGTGTGGACTGCTCCTGGAGGCCAAGATGGTCTTGAACTCAACTCGGGCTGGACCTCCCTCATGACTTGGATGCCCTTCTTGGTCCTCTTCACCTCTAGGCCTTTCTCCAAGCTCTTCATGATCCTCTACAATGTTCCCAAGAATGATAAAATCAATAGATAGCAAACTATTCTCAGAATCATGAAAAAAATCGCTTAAGAACGAACTAGCCTCTAGATTTAATTTTCGCATTCGAGCTCTAGTCATTGGTCATTTCATAGCGGTTGGAAGAATAGCGGGTGCATCCGAAGGAGTGATATCCTTGTCGGCTATCTCGCAAAATAGATTCTATAGTAGTGTGGCCAAAGGATCGCGTGTCGTCGCCGCCATTGCCGCTTGGTGGCCGGAGGGGAGTCGCCCTTGACCCACCCACGCCATAGTATGAGTGCATGAGGGAAAAGACAGAGTGATGGTTGCAGTTGATTACGGTCTTGGCCAGGCTTATATATCAGTTGTTTTCCCTCGGGTTGATCCTATACATCCGTCTTATATCAACGGTAAGATTCGCTCACGCTTCGTTAGTACTTCCTCCATTCCAAATTATAAACCATTTTGATTTTTTGGTACATAGATTTTGCTACATATCAAGATATATGTATCTAGATACATAGCAAAATCTATGTACCAAAGAAGTCAAAGCGACTTACCATTTAAAATGGAGGGAGTACTTAGTATTATGGGATAGCTGGTAAGAAAAAGGGTATATATGCAGGATTGAGAGGTATAGCAGGCATACTCCCTTTGTCCTATAATATAGCGCATTCTGGCATTTGAAATGTATCCTAAAATATAAGGGATCCGGGGAACAAAAAGATACTCCATCCATCCTGTAATATAGTACATTCTAAAAATTAAGACAACTTAAGGGGACACTCAAATGACGCATGTACCCATGGATTGTTCCTATTAAGGAGTTTCTTCTTAAATCATGGTTTCCTTCTTAACAAACTTTGCCAAATATAGGCATAATCATTACATATAATGCATTATATTTCAATACAAATTTTAGAAGTCACAATTCACTATATTTTAGGGCGAAGAGAGTAGTGCTTACTAAATAGAAATACTTGATTCAGTACTTGCCATATTTTTGTATAAAGGGAGCTGAGAGTCCACCTTTTAATCATGGGGAATAGAAACGGATTTCAATATATTAGGAAGTTAAGGGATACATGCGTCTATTGCACTCTTCCTTATTTTGTGTGAGAATGGCTAGAATGTGCTATATTTCATGATGGAGGGAGTACCACATATATCATCACTAACTCAGCTTTTTAAGTAGGTATGAGAAACGGCCTATTGAAAATATACTATATCTTTTTTTGCATGTTTTAGCAAGCTAATCCACACAGAGCCTGATTACAAGAGATAAATTAATAATATATACAGCTAGAATTTCCATTAATTATTCTCATTCGAAATCTCATATAGTCCTGATAGCTTGATGAAAGGAACATAGCATGAGAGGGTTAAAAAGGTCTACCGAACTATCGGAAAGTAAAAGAAAAATGTGTTTGCTCAAAGGGGCTAAAAATACTGATATGCCGTATTTGAGTAATTGAGTTCAAACACACCAGTGCAAATCCCTAATTTAGAAGGTACCACTACGCATTTGATCAAGTGCTAAAACCACTTGGAATCGAGTCACATGATTTGCAGATGGAGGCCAGGGTATCCTGCTTTAGCTTTGTTTTCCTCGAATAGCTCCTGCAGTGCGATGACAAATTGTCGATGGACTTCATTTACCTGCAACCAGCAGCATTATATTGCATTATTGCATACATGCATCATACAGTTTTGAATTGAAGGGGAAACCATTAGATTGTAAATGCTAGTTATGCTTTTTGCTTCAAAAATCATAATCTAATTAAGAACGCGGTGAGGTAGTCAGCACGTAATCCATCTCATTAAATGCCATCCATAGGCCTATATATCTAGTAAATGTGACCAAAAAAAGGCACTGCCATTACTGAAAATTTCAAATATTTGTAATAATTAAGGTATTGATTATGCAACCATGGGCTCCATGTCACTACTACAATAAGCATTTGTAGAGGGCGGCTGGCGATAGTTTGTAGAGGCAGCTCGGCCAGCCGCCCCTACCATACCGTCTCTACAAATCATGTATTTGTAGGGGCGGTTCCCAGACCGCCCCTACAAATCGATTTGTAGAGGCGGCTGGTGTTATCAGCCGCCCCTACAAATCGATTTGTAGGGGCGGCCGTAGTACCAGCCGCCCCTATAATACCTGTTTGTAGGGGCGGTTCAGTTTAGAACCGCCCCTACAGAATATTTTTCCGTAAAAAAAAATCAAATTTACAATTTAAATTCGACTAGAACATATATTTTTCATGCACAACTCCATCATGACTTATCTTCTTCTGCGATTGTACTAGAACTCAATGACAATACACATTTATGTGAAAGACAATGACAATACTCAAATGATTTTTATGTGGTAGTCTAATTATTAAATGCTCTCTCTGTCCATTGGTGAAACTCAATGACAATACACCTGATTTCCTGAAGAATGGAACTGATGCAAAATAGTTGGAGTTAACAGATGGAAATTCAGTCTGCATGGGAGCAGTCCCTCCTTTACTCGCTGATACAGGGATGGAATCCATGACACAGTTCATCTTTCTTGGGAGCAGTATTTGTAATTCTCATAAAAAAATGTATTTACATGATGGTCCATTCATAGCAGAACGTTTTCTTGGAAAGAAATATGAACCTAACATTGGAAGAATAAATGTCTACCACATGGTTTGCCATACCTAGAACCAAAAGTTGCTTCGTAAGAAATGTGCGAAATTGGATAATTTGCAGCAGGCACCCGAGGAGAAACTTGGGTTGAACCGATCATGTGTGCAGACGGACCCTTTGAAACCACAGCTCCGGCACAAGGTGGATGGGCATCATAGACAGTAAATTTTGTTCCCAAGAAGTTTGATCTGATCAACAGAGAAGAATATGGTAAACTGATGTCTCTGTCATAGCCATACTTTTGATCCGATGCACGGCATTGAAAAAACAGAGCAAGTTTTGAATTTCAGACACTGTTTCTTGAATGCTCACCTTAGCTTGCCAATGTAGGTACCTTTTGATGTATTCTTTGCATCAAGCGAGATCAGGTATTCAGTGCCTGCGGGCCTGGGCCTATGACTTCTGCGTGCAGCAAGTAGAAATTTCCCATCATCAGCTAACGCTGCAGAGCAAAAGAAGAAGAAAAACAGTGTCCATCAACAATGATGACATCCACACTGTATTTGTTCAAGAGTCATACATATAGGGGGTGAAAAAAGCATACCATCAGTGACTCCAACGCACAGAGAATATGACTGAGTCACCCGGTTCCTCCTAATGAAACATTTAATTGGGGCATCCCTTGGACCAGGCTGCAGGTTACAGATATGAAACTGCAAGTTAATAAAACCAAAATAAATCGATGAACAAAATTTTAGAGTCAAAGAAACCTCAAATCAAGCGTTAACCCTCTTCTTACTAAAACGACAATAAGAATCTGTCCACCGTTTCGACACAGGCAACTGTAAAAACAAGTCGACTAGCTCCTAAAGTAACATTTGACCTTGCATACTTGATTCTAAGCAAACTGACTTAACGAAAGAAGTCATAAAGAATTGTCTACTAATCTTATCTCCACTGAGTAGAGAATAGTATCTCGACTTACCAAACCATCGTACTCAAGAACTTTCTTTTTTTAGAGTTCCAGGGCAAAACACCCCAGCCTTTTAACTATTGTCAGAAGTCTAAATTCAATACAGGGCAGTTTAAAACCACGCCCAGACATGCCGAAGCCTGGAGAATCTGGTTCCAACCAGAAACAGAACCAGAACCAAAAGAAACTGAAGGACTTCTTACAACCTATCGATAAAAACATGAAGAGCAACAGAACTCTCCTAGAACCCTTGTACTCAAGAACTGAAAATTAAACAAATATGACTACCAAGGGTCACACACGCAACCTGGAAATGGAGGCTTTGACCCTAGCAAATGATGAATGCAGTATGGCAAATACCATCACTGACAATGACTACTCAAGGTGAAATTGTTCAAACAGATTTATTAACTGACATTTGTGGTGCTCTCAGCCTGGGAACACTACACAAATAGCATCATATAAATAGTTAAATACTTGTAAACAGCTTTATCCATGGTCAATTTTGTAGTAAAAAATAAACTCGCAAACTACAAATTTCTACCATCAAAAAACAAGACGTCAGGTGAATCAAACTTACAGTTGGAGAAATTGGAAATTCAGATTAAGGCACCGGAAACTGTAAACAAGAGCAGGTAAGGACAACATCACCTGATACTGTTCCCCTCTGTCTGAAAGACATCCGGCTTCTATCCAAGCTTCATGTACTTCATCTTGACACGCCAAGAGTAACCTGAATCGCCTTCCCCCTTCCTGTTTTCCTTTACTTTTCTCCTCAGTCCTCACCATAGACACACGCCTATATATACTGAAAAGATTATAAGAGCAGCACAATGCATTCAGGCATGGTCTTTTTTTGCCAGAACAGCGACCCTATGTATAATTAAAATAAATGCGTACACACAGAAAATGAATTCAAGGGATCAGAGGCATAATCAAAATGAATACCGTACAAAGACCAAGCAAGCTCAGGGAGGAAGAAATGGAGCAAAGCATGTATTTACAGAAGCGCTATCCATTCATAGATGTACGGATACGCTAAACTAATATGGAGATGGGGATGGGGATTAATGGGGAGAATCACGTGTACCATCATAAACAAGAAGCAGATTTGGGGGAAAGAACAACATCTTTTGCAAATCCAAGGCACAGAGGTGTTCCCGTTGCAAGAAAATGAATGGATCTATATTCATCTGTGCATCAGTACGTAATAAATGGAGAGATGGGGATGAAGGGAAGCACCTGAATCCCTCAACCAACACAGAGGAGAGGAATGACCTTGCTTCACCTGGGAGACGCCACGAATGGAGAAGGGGGCGCCACGAATGGCCGATGACGGAGAGGCAGAACCTGAGGTCGGCGCCGCCGCCGCACTAGGGGCCCACCGTCGTCCAGCCTGTGCGGCACGAGGGGGCATGGACGAGGAGAAGGCTGGCCACTGCCGCGTGGAGGCCAGCCACCGCCGCGCGGAGGCCGGCCACCGCGGAGGTCTGCCCGCGCCGCCGCCCTGCCCGCGGCGGGGGAGATGGGGAGAGAGGGAGGGGAAGAGAAGAGACTGCCTGGACTCACCCGTGCGGAGCGGATCTAGCTAGGAGCGGATCTGGGAGCGGATCTGGGAGCGGAGCCGGGAGCCGCGAGCGCGTGGTGGTCTCGTCTCGTCTCACGCCCGCATGGCCGCGTGGTCAGTCACTGTGCGAACGGAATCCAGCGCGGGCCGAGGTGGGCGTCGTGTCAGCGGAGGGGAGGGACGACGGAGCTGCTAAGAGAAGAGGGAGGGAGGAGAGCGGAGACAAGAGAGAGAGGGAGCCGCCGTCGAGAGAGGATGTGGATGCGCGAGAGGGAGCTAGGGTTGGATTTTTTTTCTCGGGCTGGAGGTGGCTGCTATATATACAGCGGGAATTTCTAGGGGCAGCTGGTGAGTCAGCCGCCCCTAGAAATGGACACAGCAGGGGCGGCTGGTACTAGCCGCCCCTACAAATCTACTCATTTGCAGGGGCGGCTCGTATTACCAGCCGCCCCTACTGTGCTATTTGTAAGGGCGGCTGCTGTGCTGGAGCCCGAGTACGCCACTGTAGGGGCGGCTCCAATGCCAGTCGCCCCTAAAAAAAAAGTCCCGTTACTACAAACTGTTTTTCACGTAGTGCTTGATTGTTGAAATGGCGGCTAGTAACCTGCCTCTAGCCAAAATAGTGTCGATTGTGATAAGGAACACACAACACAATTTTAACAGAATTGTAATATGTTTTTGGAGGCAAATTTAATATACTCATGACTGACAAATGTTACAGTACTGTTCATGTTCAAAATTGTAATCATTTTGGCTTTTCTTAGTACATATATAATTTTTGCTATGTACGCTATGTCTAAATAAATATTAAAAGTTATGTTTCTAGATAAGCAAAACGGCTTAGAATGTGGAGGGAGTATTTGACTGCAACCCAAAATACACTACAATCATCTTAAACAATCTGATACCTTACCTCATTAGTCGTAGGTTGACCTTTTTTTCTCAACAAGGATTGGTTTTCCAACAAAAACATGCATGGGGGAAGGGAATGGTATTGGCATCCTGCATTTAGTGTCATAGCATAATGTTCAATAGAAAGGATACGTTTACATAATGGAGTAGTATGGAAAGATAAAAGTAGTCTAGGTTGAGGGAGTATATAGTAAGAATAAACAAGCACAGTCTCTGCCCAAAAAACTTATGTTTTTGTTGATAAGTGAAACTATCTCAAGTTTGATCAAATTTAAAAAAAAATCTTATACTCTTATAAAGCAAAACCCCACTAATTATTTATCTCAACATGTAAGCTATCCAACTAGACAATGCACTATCACATACAATTAAAATCCACTAAGTAAAACTCACTAACTATTTATCTCAACATGCAAGTTGTCCAACTATGCAATGCACTATCACATACAATTAAAATTCACTAGCACATGCAACTTCCACGTCAGCAAGACACATGAGCATTTTTATTATCTATGTCATCATACCATACAATTCACTAATCTGTAATTCCCGCAGCAAAGCGCGGGGTATGCTTCTAGTTAATTATCAAAATTTATGATAACAAATGGGTATACAATTAATGAAAATATGTCCTATATATAAGAATATAATGTTACTTATTTGATAAAATAAACATTAGTATTCTATTGTATAAGATTTGGCCAACTTTTAATAGTTTCACTTAGGACAAAGCTCACGCCACTAGTTAATGTATTGGGAATGTAGAGAAGCATACACTGTGCATGCCGTCTATCTATAAGAGCAGCAATATTCATTCGGACATATCCTATTTTGATCATGATTTATCTTTATATGCATCATGAAATGTTCATCATTAATAGCATACACTACTGGAGACGGCCTCTTTGCCGAGGGCCTTAGGCCCTCGGCAAAGGCCCATTAACCCTCGGCAAAAGCTTTGCCGAGGGTGGCCCTCGTCAAAGAGCTCTCGGGGAATTTTGAGTCGGCGAAGAGCGTCTTTGTCGAGGGCTGGAGCGGCACTCGGCAAAGAAAAGCAGTCGTCACGGCGCCGGCACCTGGGACGGAGTCTTTGCCGAGGGCCGTCTCCGGGGGCCCTCGGTAAAGAATTTATTTTATTTTTTTTTGAAAAATCTTTGCCGAGGGCCTCAAGCATGGCCCTCGGCAAAGAAATATGCAGAATTTTTCCAAAAAATCTTTGCCGAGGGCAATGGGATGGTCCTCGGCAAAGAATTATTCTTTTTTTGAAAAACTTTGCCGAGGGCTTCCCCGAAGGCCCTCGGCAAAGAATTTTATTTTTTTTTTAAAAAAAGTCTTTGCCGAGGGCTTCCCCGAAGGCCCTCGGCAAAGAAATTTTTTTTTTTTAAAAAAAGTCTTTGCCGAGGGCCTCCAACCATGGCCCTCGGCAAAGAAATGTTGCAGAAATTTATTTTTTTAAAAAAAATCTTTGCCAAGGGCAATGGGACGACTCTCGGCAAAGGACCCTTCTTTGTCGAGGGCCTTGGTCATTGTTCTTGGCAAAGAGGCAGAAATTTAATTTTTTTTTGTTTTTTGCATTCCATCGACACAAGCATTTCATATATATATCACACGGAACCCATTTTCTCATAATATATCATAACCGTAATTGTGAACCACAAATCACAATATATTACAACGACAAGTCACATGTTCATCATCATTGACATGTTTATTACGATAAGTTCATGAAATCCAAGCACAAGTCAGAACCATAAACCACAAATATTACAATAAAGTCCAACCACATCACCTAGCACTAGTCCTCATCAAGGTAGCCTATGAGACGGTGGTGAAGGAAAGGCGGGATCAGCCAGTGACGCACTACCGAAATGATTGGAACCCGCGGACGGAGGCTGCACAAAGGAGCAGAGATTGCATGTGTGAGTAATCCGGAAAAATAGTATTGGAACTTAGAGATTGCATCTAATAATCTAGGAATACAAAAAGATTAGACTCAAGTGAAAATTTCGGCGGCACCTCCCCTGCACAGGGAGGTTTCCAAAACCTGCAAGAAACAACGGCACGAACGCCGACATCCACAACAGCACGAACGCCGACATACATGCAAAGCACAAGCGAAAAGTGAACTTTCATACTTACAGGAGTAGCTGCAGGAGTAGCTGCAGGAGTAGGAGGTGGAGGAGCTGAAAACTGCACAGGTACACCCGATGCTTGCCCAAGACTTTGCATGATCACCATCATCTCCGCCATCTGCTTCTGCGCGGCCTCGAATGCGACCTGCTGGGCCTATAGCTGTGCGGTCAGTTCCACATTCTGCTCTTGACTTTGCCTTTTTGTTTCTTCTAGCTCGGCCTACAATATTTCACTCCAATGTATCAGTAATGCAAATCTAATTTAGATGTGTAAATATCAACGTACGATGAGTAAAACAGGAATTACCTGGAGTGCCTGGACCTGCTGCAGTGCTGGAGAAGGCCGTGAGCGTATGGGCTGGCTGGAGCTCGTGCTCCGTGCTCAGATAGCGTCGAGGGATGGAACAGT